GTGGGGTGGGGCTCCGATGCCGAGACCGACACCGACCCGCAAGTAGGATATGTAAACAACGCGTTCGGACCTTGCATCAACAAAAACAAACAGAGAAGCAAGGTTCGGGGCCCCAAGGAAGACGAGGTGGATGGGGGATATATGAATGATGATCGTGTTAAAGCGGTGGCATGTGAGAGCGTGATGCCGACGACGAAGCCGACGCGACTGACGACCGAAGTGACGAACGACGCAACGGACAGGTCGGATGACAATGAATGTGACGATGGCGACTGCAACATATGAGTGAAACCAGCGCTCGGTTGATCAACGATGCTCAACGAGATGCGGTGACAACCTCGAACATCTCGGTGGTGCAAAGTGCTACCTAGCACTTTCGTCCAACGGTGCAAAGTGCTACCTAGCACTTTCGTCCAACGGTGCAAAGTGCTACCTAGCACTTTCGTCCAACGGTGCAAAGTGCTACCTAGCACTTTGCACACGGGTCGAAAGTGCTACCTAGCACTTTGCACCGTTGGACGGCTACACTTTGCACACATCATCATCATCATGTAAGAACGGTCTGGTGCAAAGTGCTACCTAGCACTTTCGTCCAACGGTGCAAAGTGCTAGGTAGCACTTTCGACCCGTGTGCAAAGTGCTAGGTAACACTTTGCACCGTTGGACGAAAGTGCTAGGTAGCACTTTGCACCGTTGGACGAAAGTGCTAGGTAGCACTTTGCACCGTTGGACGAAAGTGCTAGGTAGCACTTTGCACCACCGACGTGGTCGCTCGATGGTGATGCTGGCGATGAGTGTTGGATGGTGAGGTTGACCATGTGAGTGATCACTGTGGCAGTAGATACGACGATGACGAGGCTACAAGAGCAGCGATGATGACATCAATGTGTGCAATGGTTGGTGCAAATAAAGCTAGACCGAACTGCACCGACTGAGACGATGACGAACTCAGAGGGATGATAGCGTGGGGCGGGAGAGGATCACCAGAGTGGATCGGGCGTTAGAGAGGGCTCACCGCCATCCCAGAAGAAACATACCCCTAGAGAAATTAACGTGGTCTCCAGGCGAAACGCGTCCAGAACCTCTGCCCAAAGCTGACTTCCAAGAGGAGCGATCCGATAGATATGAGTAGCATGTTGACTGGTTCCCAACGCGCCAGAACATCAACACATTCAAGTGATTGCTCACTGTCAACGCCGTCATCACATGCCGAAATATACTTCTCACACTCACCCCCCTCCATCCGTGACCATCCATCACTAGCTCGCTCGTGCTCATTCGCAGTGAGAGGAACGAGGTTCCATAACCAGCGTGCTAGAGGGCTTTTGGAACCATCCCCCTCCTCCTCCTACTACTCCTTCTCCTCCTCCTCCTCCTCCTCCTCCTCCTCTCCATCTCCCCTCTCGCAGGGCTGATTTCCCATTCCCGTTCTTGGGGGCCCCGCAATGAGCCAATCCCAGGAACGGACATGGGAATCGCCTCCCCCTCCTCCGCCTCCTCCGCCTCCTCCTCCTCCTCCTCCTTCATCCCCGCCCCTCCTTAGTTTCATTGTGCCAGCGTTTGGGCTGCGTGGCGCAACCTGTGGCGATTCATTTAGCCTGACCACGCCGACATTGCAACTGTTGTTGTAGCCGTTTGTGCTTCAGGTGCATTTAGAGACTTAGCCCTCTCGCGTCTTCAGTTTGTGCGAGGGCCATGTCTGGCGACCCCGCCATGGTCATTGTAGGCGCGTTGCGCCATCGTGTGGCTTTCGTTCATGCCCAACGCAGTGCTGGAGTCAACGTCGACGGCCTCTTGAACTCCCAATGCCAAGCCCTGTGCTGCTCGATTGGCCAAGCAACGCCCATGACGGTTGACCAGGCCACTGAGATCACGAAGGAGATTATTCAAGGTCCATGGACAGAGGGTCAGAGGACGCAACTGGCGGAAGCTCTCCAGACGGCAGTACTGAACAGCACGTCGACGGGCCCAGCGAAATGCAGGGCGCAACAATATTGCCAGACGTTGGAGAAGTACCTGACGAGTTCCGACTGGAGCACCATCCAGAACACCGACTTGTCAGAGGAACCAAAGTTGAAATGCATATCATATCGCATGTGGCGATTGGGAATGTCATGCCCCTCGGAAAAGTTGCAGTCCAGGGCAGTGGCCATACTGGTGGTGGCTGGTGCGATCGGGTCGCCTGCCTACAGCGAGAAGCGCGACCACATGAAGGACATCAAGTCGAGGATCAAGGCACTCGATGCGTCCCACCCATGGCACCTTGGGCACATCAAGAACTACGACTACAGCCCGTCAGCTTTGTCTCCTGCTTTGTTGGCGGTCGCATATGAGGGGACTGACGGCCCAGTCGCCCAACCTGCCGACATTACTTCAGGGATGATCGAGGCAGAGGTCAAGATCATGGGCAAGCGTGGCAGCCACAAGGGCATCAAGGCCGAAGCACAGCAACACCAAGTGCATGCCGTATCCAATGCAGTACAGCATCGTCCACAGCTGGATGACGCGGCGTCGATCTTGGGTTTGTTCAAGACGCTCCTTCTGCAAGGTGCCCCGCATGGACAGAGGTCCCGCAGCGCCGATATACCCATCACGTTCACTAAGCAGCCAAAGGACCAGCCCGCATGCAGCCCATCCCCCGCGGCTGCTGCGTCGGCTGACTCGCTGACGGATGGTTCGCCGTCGATTGCGAGCTCGCCTGCCATCTTCCCAACGGCTCCGATGCCGCTGGCCATTGCTGCAGTGCCAGCGGCTTCGGCGCCACTTGCCGAGGATGGAGGCGCCGTCGACCAGGCGGCAGAGTTGGAGAGGAAGATGAGGGAGTCGGCCGAGGCTAAGGGCCACCCCCTGGCAGGCTCCAAGCGCGACCAGACGGGGAAAGCCAAGCTCGCAAAGAAGGCCGCAGAGAAGGAGGCCAAGGCCGCGGTCAAACATGAGGTCAAACGCGCCAAGGCGGCGGCCAAGGCTGCAGCCAAAGCCGCCGTCAAGGCGAAGGCAAAGCCACAGGCCAAGCCCTCGCCTGCGGCGAAGGGCAAGGCCGCGTCCAAGACGAGCACAGCAACAGGCCTGGGCCCAAACAGATCACATCAGATGCCACCGAAACGTTTTCCGAATCGTTGTTGTGATGAACGGAACCCGACAGGTCCGACATTGAGTATGTTCTAGGGCCCCTCGGTATTATGTTGTTTTCCATGGGCTTCTGGCGATCCATGGGGTTCTAAAGCTGCCCTCGGGACTCTAACGTTGTCCATGTTTCGTTTCGCCACTGAGGCTGGGAGCACCAGGCAGCTTGGAAGCACATCAGCTGTAAGGAGATCATTGTCCCTTCTGAGTGCAAGGGTCGTGGTAGGAACCAGTATACGTCGCTGTGCTACTGCAGGGCCAAATCTAAGGCAAAAGCCGATGGCCTCACAGCTGCGCAAGTAAATGAATTTGCCAGGCACGTTCTTCAGAAGGCTTCAGCGACCTTCGATCGTCAGTGTTAGGGGCCAGCATTGCGCAACTTGGGGTAGTTTGTGCAACGGGTGTGGCTGGATTTCTGCGTGAAGCGTTTCAGGCACTTGTGCGGTACAGCCAATACCATCCTCTCTCATCCGCCTCCGCCGTTCCACTTCCTATTGTCCTGCCACTTCGCGTCGCCTCTTCCTCTGCCGCTGTCCTCGTTGCTCTTTCATCCCTTCCCCCTTCGCTCATTAATTAAGTCCTCAACCGCTCTTGCCGCACCGTCTTAAACCTGGGCTGGCATCTAGCTTGGTCAACGGGCTCTGCGGCGCTCTCTGGATAGGGGGAGGGGAGAGCGACTGACCACCTGACTCACTCACAAAGCAAGTCGCTCAAGCGAGAGTCCAGCCTTGGCGACTAGGTTCGGGAGACGACCAATCGCTAATCCAGCCGTGGCGACTCCGATGATCCAACCCCGACCGATCGAGAATCCAGCCGTGGCGACATCGGGGCTCAAACGCTGAACGAGGATCCAGCCGTGGCGTCGACCCCGCGAATTACACAACAAGTAGGAGGCAACATAAACATCAAGGAACAACGATAGGGAATGAAATGGCGATGATAAGACCAAAATCGTGGTGATAATGTTTTAGAGGTAACATATCGAAACGGAAACCTGGCACCTTCCCAAGCACTGTTGCTTCTGTAATGTCCGTAGCCATTTTGGCTCTAGCGCTCAGCAATCATGCATGGCAGCGCCACCAAAGAAGAGGGGTAGATTGTCTGACTATGGTAAAGACAGCTATGTTTCAGCTTCTGGCCTGAAGGCATTGCTCGACCAAGTGCGCGAGCATGGGTTGCCTGAACATTTCTCTGAAAGAACCCAGGCCCGCGCGAAGCAGGCTGTTGCTTCCCAGAGTACATCACATGGCCCTCTCCTGCAGCGCTTCGATGTGTCTGATGGCAAAGGTGGCACTGTAGAGCTTTGGTACCAACATCCCATCGGCATGTTGGAAGCGGCGTGCAAAGAGAGTTCTGAGTTCAGAGATCTTCTCGTGCGCACGCTAGATGAATCTCATAATCATATTGAAGTTATGTTTTACACTGATGAAGTCGTTCCTGGAAATAACCTCAGTGATAATAACAAGAGAAAGCTTTTGGCAATGTATTGGACGATCGGCAATTTCGGATATCCTATTTTGTCCAACGAAGGCAGTTGGTTCACAATTTCGGCAGCGAGGTCAACACTAATCGATCGTCTTCCAGGTGGGGCCTCCGAGGCCATCAAATACATGTTGAAAACGTTCTTTGGGCTCCCTGTTGGGCCCGACCTGCGGCACGGCGTCACTATATGTATTGACGGTCGGCCCAGAGTTGTGTGGGGCTCTCTCAAAACCGTCATTCAAGATGAGAGGGCCCACAAGTTTTGTTTTCACATGAAAGGTGCAACCGCCCACAAATTATGTGGGCTTTGTCAGAACGCCGTGGTGTTCAACTCAACGCTCCTGCCAGATCCTACTGGGTGGCTTGTTCCGAGCGATTGCACCGACATCACCAAGTTTAAGCTGCACACGGCGGAAACAGTGAGGGGGATCCAGAAGCGATTGCACGACGTCGCTTCACAGCCAGACAGCAAGGGCGAGGTCGAAGACCTCGAGGCGCTGTTCGGCTTCAACTACGAACCATCCTCTATCCTGATGGACGACCACCTGGCCATCGACGTGCCCAAGGTTTTCAGCTGGGACTGGATGCACGTTTACTTCGTAGGCGGCGTCTTCACGCACGAGCTGGAGGCGTGCCTGGACACCCTCGGTTCGTACGGCTTCGGCGCTTCAACGTTCGCCCAAATACTTGAGCAAGTGGAAGTGGCCATCGGGATATGCCGATGGAAAGGGCGTTGTCCATGGGAAGCACAATTCTCTCGGCGGCAGCGCCAGTGAGCAAGTGTCTGTCGCACCCGTGCTGGAGAAATACTTGAGAGATGCAGTTGTACCATCTGGCTGTTGCCAGGGTGAGGTGGAATCGGCGCTTGCATTGTGTTACGTTGTCTTTCTGCTATCCACAGCTAACTCTGGCACGGTGTCTCCAGAAACTCTAGGTTGCGCAATTTCTCGGCATTTGGCATTGCACAAGGCATGCTACGGCACCGAGATCTGGAAGCAAAAAAATCACTGTTGTTTGCACTTGGCGCCCCAACTCCTGCGACAAGGGTCGCTGCAGAGTTGCTTTCTTCAAGAGCGCAAGCATAGAGTGCTGAAGCGCTACGCGAATGATCGTAGGAATACCAAGTCGTACGAGAGAGGCCTCCTCGAGGAGGTGACTGGCTTTCACCTCTATCACCTTCGCACCTCTCTCGTGAAAGGTGACCTCGTGGATCCAAGACCTGCGACGAAGCAGATCGCGTCTGCCCTTTCGGAGTGTGGATTCGCCTCCTGCCACGGCGCCGAGACAGCACGCGTAGCTCGCTGCAGGGGCCGAGCCGTGTGTGTTGACGACGTCGTGGCGTATGAGTCCGACGACGGCATTGTGTTTGGGCGTTGTTTGTTTCACGCCAAGGTGGACGGGGCAGTCTGGAGCTGCGTGTCTCGCTGGCCCACTGCCGAGTCCACGGGGTCGTTGGCAAAATGCATCGTTCGGGACGACATGCCTGTTTTAATTAGTACTGCCTTGATCGTAGAGCCATGTATTTATTGGCCCTGCGCCGCTGGTGGGATATCCAGCGTACTGTTGCCAGGGAGGGTAAGGCCTGCAGGCTGAGAAGCCGTGGGCGCCATTCTTGCTTATGGGGCGGTGGGTGCAATGATGATGAGGGGCAGGGAGGATGAGGAGGAAGAGGAGGAGGAGGAGGAGGATCATAAGGAGGAAGAGGATGAGCAGGAGCAGGAGGAGGATGAGGATGATGAGGATGAGGAGGATAATGATAACGAAAACGATGCGACGATGACTCGACTCGAGGGGATCACGCCTGTCCTTTTGCACTACTCGGCGGAAGCTCGTCGATATCGAGCTCGTCGTCGAGCTCGTCGTCGAGGGACGACGAGTAGACACGCGTCGCACTTCTTGGATTTAGCTACTCAGAAAATGAATTGTCTCCTGATCTGACACCCTTGTAAACGTGAGCTTACTGTGAAGGGGGAATGCTCGGGGGTATCTGACGTGCCGCGAGAACGACGGGGGGGTCATCGCCCCCGTGCCCCCACCTTTCCATGCGGAGGGGGGGCCATGGAAGAACAATGAGGAATGATATAAGAAGAATGAAGATGAGGAGGACAAGGAGGAGAAGGAGAAGGAGGAGCAACAGCAGCAGCAGCAACAGCAGTAGCACGCGGAGGAGGAGGAGGGCGGAGGAGGAGAAGGAGGAGGAGAAGGAGGAGGAGGAGGAGAGGACTGACAATGAGGAGGAGGAGGAGGAGGAGGAGGAGACGGAGGAGGAGACGGAGGAGGAGGAGGCTCGAGGAGGAGGAGGAGGAGGAGGAGGAGGAGGAGGAGGGTACTTCCCTTTGGTCGTCGTCGCTTGCCCTGCGAGAGAGGGAGAGAGAGAGAGAGAGACAGAGAGAGAGAGAGCTCCGCACGCGCCTCGCGCGTCTTCCGAGAAGTTCCAGGATTCGCAGGCCCCGACCCGCCTCCCGCCCAAGGAAGAGGATAGGCTCGAGAGGTTGTATTCGGGCAGCTCCCTGCACGGAGGGCTTTCAACATGTTTTTTCCTGAGCTGCATCCCTTCACGTCTGCTTGCAATAATATATTGACTGGCTGCCGCTCCTCCCGTCTCCCCGCTCCTTCCGTGTGCATATGTGTGCACATAGCGATAGCAAAGCATTACGTAGCAAAGCATAGCATGGCATCACGTGACGATGCATGGGTTCATATAAGCACGGCGTTGCATAGCGAAGCGTCACATTGCGTGGTAAACATGAAGCCGCTCAGCCGAGCAACCAAGATAGCAAGGATAGCGAAGTGTCTGCGAAACCATTTACATATTCGGCCAAATCCAACTTAGTAGTTGGATCTGCTATCCTCCATAACCTTAGGGGTAACTAGATATATCTCGCCTAAGTGGTTAGGAACTAGCCCGCCGATTCAAGCAGGTCGCCAGATGCCGGGTGCTGGGTGCCGGGTGCCGGGTGCCGGGTGCCGGGTGCCGGGTCGCCGGGTGCCGGGTGCCGGGTGCCGGGTGCCGGGTGCCGGGTGCCGGGTGCCGGGTGCTGGGTGCCGGGTGCCGGGTGCCGGGTCGCTGGCCCTTGTCAAGACCTCCCGGCACCCAGCACCCGGCACACCCGGCACCCGGCACCCGGCACCCGGCGACCCGGCACCCGGCACCCGGCACCCGGCACCGGCACCCGGGCACCCGGCGGGCGACCTGGCGACCTGGCGACCCGGCACCCGGCACCCGGCACCCGGCGACCCGGCGACCCGGCACCCAGCACCCGGCGGCATCCGCGGCACCCGGCGACCCGGCACCCGGCACCGGGCACCCGGGCACCCGGCACCCGGCACCTGGCACCCGGCACCCGGCGACCCGGCACCCAGCGACCCGGCACCCGGCACCCGGCACCCGGCACCCGGCATCTGGCGACCTGGCGACCTGGCGACCCGGCACCCGGCACCCGGCACCCGGCGACCCGGCGACCCGGCGCCCGGCACCCGGCACCCGGCGACCCGGCACCCGGCGCCCGGCGACCCGGCGACCCGGCTACCTGGCACTCAGCACCCAACATCCGGCAACGCGGCGACCCGGCACCCGGCACCCGGCACCCGGCACCCAGCACCTGGCACCCAGCACCGGCCCGGCACCCGGCACCCAGCACCCGGCATCTGGCGACCTGCATGGCGACCTGGCGACCCGGCACCCGGCACCCGGCACCCGGCACCCGGCACCCGGCACCCGGCGACCCGGCACCCGGCACCCCGCACCCGGCACCCGGCACCCGGCACCTGGCGACCCGGCGTCCCACCCGGCACCCGGGCACCCGGCACCTGGCACCTGGCGACCCGGCGTCCCGGCAACGACCTGGCACCCGGCACCCGGCACCCGGCGACCCGGCGTCCTGGCAGCGACCCGGCACCCGGCACCCGGCGACCCGGCACCCAGCACCCGCGCGGCATCCGCGGCACCCGGCGACCCGGCACCCGGCACCGGGCACCCGGCACCCAGCACCTGGCACCTGGCGACCCGGCGACCCGGCGACCCGGCACCCGGCACCCGGCACCCAGCACCCGGCGAGGCACCCGGCACCTGGCACCCGGCATTCTCGGCTTGTCTTGTGGCCATCTTGGACCGTTTTGCGGCCATCTTGGGCCGTCTTCGGGCCGCCGCGGGCCACCTAGGTTCTGGATCTCACGCGTCGAGGGAAGCCCAAGGGCTCAGCAAATCATGATAATGAAAATCATATTGGTGATGGTGGTCATGACGATGACTATGTGCCAGGGAAGAAAGAGCAGCACGAAGATAAGCAGTCCGAGGAGGCTGATCATGAGGATGATTCCCCTGCGCTCACTGGGCAACGAACGTGTGCCGACAGCGGCTTCGCTGCTAAGGAGTGCTCCCTCTCCCAGGAAGTATGTGCGTGTGATCGCGCGCGCTGGGCGACATTCACAAATCCTCCGCGTGCTCACGCGCGCGAGCAGACATAAGATCGAATAGCATGGGAAAAATACTGAAAAGCTCAAACGAATTGTTGAATTTCGAGAACAACATTTCCAACCGACCAAAAGTCAGCAAAAGTTCCGTCGAGATTTTTCTTGCCAACTAGCTCTCCAGCGCCCCGGAATTACTGGCGCCGGCGGTGAACCGTCAACCTGGTCACCGCCGGGAACCTCGTAGAGCTCCTTCCACGCGTGAGAATGCCTAGAATCGACAGGGAGAGCTTCTGGAAGCATTTCGCGAAAAAAGCCATTGATTTTTTTTTCATGTCGATATGAAGTTGGTTCCGCCAAGTGTTTTGATAGTAAATGTGCGCCTACAGAGCTCATATTAAGACGGAGACGCGCTCATAATCGTTCACAGGTGCGAAAAAACTGCTTTCTCAAAATGAATTGTCAAATATCTTTCAAATCTTAGCAAAACCGCGGGTCGGCCAACTAGCTCCACCCCGCGCCGGAATTCCTCTAGCTCATGCCGAAGAGCTCTACGAGGTACTCTTAAGCTTCCAGCAATAACTTGCTAAGGGAAGCTCTACGAGTTATGGCGCCGGCGGTGAACCGTTTAAGAGTGCTCAGATGTAAAGCAGACAGCTTCTTGGAGCATTTCTAGACAAACATGGAATTTCCATTTTTCGGTATCAACATGATGTTGGTTCCTCCAAATGTTTGGATAGTAAAACTCCCTCCGGAGAGCTGAGCTGCTCGCAGAAGAAAATGTAGATACTAATGCTCGGAGTAAGAATCTGCTTTTCCAAAATACATTGTCAAACATCTTTCAAATTTTCGCAAATCCGACCCAAAGTTACCACATCTTCTTTTCTGGTCGGGTCGACCAACTGGCTCCACCCCGCGCCGGAATTCCTCTAGCCCATCCATGCCGACGAGCTCTACGAGGTACTAGCTCCACCCCGCGCCGGAATTCCTCTAGCTCATCGATGCCGAAGAGCTCTACGAGGTATTACTCTTGAGCTTCCAGCAATAACTGGACGGCGGTAAACCGTCAACCTTTCTTACCGCCGGGGACTCGTAGAGCTTCCTGACCATATATTATGTTCAGAATTATAGCAGAGAACGAATAGTTTCTGAGCCCGAGCTGATAGCAGATTAATCTCAGGCGTGGAAGTAGCAGAGTACGAATCCGTTTTGGCGTCTGCGTTCACAACAGACTCAAACCCAGCGTTTAGATGCTTCACACCTCACGAGTGCCTTCTGAGTTTCCGGCCGCTCGAGTTCAGTGAAGAAATTCACCATTATTTGGACAAAAAAAAGCAGTCGAATACGAATAATTTTGTGAACCTTA